TGAATATTTTATGAACAGTAGCAGTAAGAGAAGGGAATCGGGGGCTTAACCCTTTTATCCCATACTGTAGTCTTAATGGCACTTTTTTATAAACAACAGCTTTAGCACAGGAATAAATCAAGTCTCTATAAGGATGTTGGTTTAATACCTTTGATGCTTGGCAAACTTTCCACCTGGGACTTGTACTTGTTTGTACAGTTTTGATTTGAAGTAAAACATATCCTGGGCTTCTTCTGCCATTAGGCAGAATGAGGCAGACTTTGAGCAGCACCTTTCCTTCCCCAATAAGAAAAAGTTGGGTAATAAGGAATGCATGCGAAAGAATCTCAAGAACAAATGTGCTGCTGGTGCCCAGCTAGAAAATAACGAGAGGGTTCTGTTGATGTAACTTGTTCTCTTGGTAATATTACACTGAATTTAGGTCATTACAGGTTTCTTCCAGGGAAAGACACTTCTGGTATGTTGTGCCTTTGAGAGTGTGGTGCCATTTTCTGTTCTGCTGCATGCAGCAAAATGGCTTGATGTGGCTATAGCTGCATCAGTTATAGGGGTGGGTAATTGTGGTCCACTAGTGTTTTTTTTTGGGGGGGGTACAGTTCCCATTATCTTCAACCAATATACTCAGTAGTAAAGGATCATGGGGGTTTCAGCCAAAAATCTGGAAGACCATGGTTGCCCTCACCTGATATGTTGGAAGTTGTAAAGAAGCCTTTGTAGGTACAGTGGACCCTCTACTTAAGGAATTAATCCATATTGGAATGGTGGCTGCAAGTCGAAAAGTCTGTAAGTCGAATCTCCATTGACCTACAATGCACTGAAAACCGATTAATCCCATAACCAGTGGTTTTTATTCTATTTTTATTCCATTTTGGGTTTTTTCTGGTCTGTAAGTCGATTCTATGGCTGCAAGTCGAATCTAAATTTTGCAGCCAGAGAAATCTGTAACTCGAAAAGTCTGTAAGTCAAGCCGTCTGTAAGTCGAGGGTCCACTGTACATAATATTTGGCTGTTTTACATTGCTCCAGATTCCTGTGTGTTAACTTTTAAAGTAAGCAACAGCATCTAAATAAGTAATGAAATTACTGTTCAAGTCAGATGTCCTCAGATTATTATTTTCAATGTAGGATCATTTGTGCTTTAAGTGGGTTTGTTTGAGGTATATAATTGTTCTTAAAGCCTTTGTTGAATATGAAATATATTATTCTGTTTATATTTCTATTTAAATTGTATTTGGAATAACAGATGTGAAGTGCTGTCATCTAACTGTCACACCAATTGTTCATTGTTCTGAGAAGGTCACATTATAATTAATTAACAATAATTATTCCCTGGGTACACGCTGCACTTCTTTACCCAATTGCTTCATTAGTTCATGAGTGATTCTCATATTGGTTGCTCCAGTCAATGAAGATATATTTATAGTATACAAGTGGATGCTATTAGTTACAATTTATTAACTGTTTAATTTAAAATAGAAAAGCTATCTTTATGAAGGGCAATTAACCACTAAGTGTAATTGATAATTCACATACTTACGATTAGGAAAGACAAATAACATGAACAAAAACCTATGTGGTGATGAAAACTTTGGATATTTTAAATAGTTGCAAGATGTTTTTCCATAGGAGAACTGCAATTCTAAGAATTGCCTTTGATTGGTGTATTTAGTCTGCACTGATCTCTCCCCCCACCAATGTACTTCTACCTCCATACCATTTTTTAAAAAGTCCTTTCTGTTTTTAGACTACATCTCTTAGATTTTAACTGTATTCAAAGTTGATAGGCAATACATTTAAAATGGCTAGCACGCAGAAATATTAAAGCAAAACATTTCCCTTTCCACTTTCTCCAGTTATTCTGTTAAAAATTAAAAATATTTTTACCAGAACAGCTGAAGAGGATGGAAGTTAAGATGTTTTGCTTAAATATTTCTATTTGTTAGTCACTCTTTTAAATGCTTATACAGTATATATATAGAGGTGACTAATTGCATCCCTCAAATGGATACAGAAAAACCTTGAAAGGTGCTGTTTAGTTCTCGTTATCAGTTTATTTATGAAATAAAAATATTCATTAGGGATTTGGTCTAGATTATACCTGAGTAGCCCACTGGTTTTTCCTACTTTCTTCAGTTTAAGCTTGAGTTTTGCTATAAGAAGCTGATGATCAGAGCCACAATCAACTCCAGGTCTTGTTTTTGCTGCCTGTATAGAGCTTCTCCATCTTCGACTGCAGAGAACATAATCAATCTGATTTCAGTATTGCCCATTCGGTGATGTCCATGCGTAGAGTCATCTCTTGTGTTCTTGGAAAAGAGTGTTTGTGATGACCAGCTTGTTCTCTTGGCAGAACTCTATTAGCCTTCGGCCTGCTTTGTTTTGAACTCCAAGGCCAAACGTACTTGTTGTTCCTTTTATCTCTTGACTCCCTGCTTTAGCCTTCCAATCCCCTATAATGAGAAGAACATCTTTCTTTGGTGTCAGTTCTAGAAGGTGTTGTAAGTCTTCATAGAATTGGTCAATTTCAGTTTCTTCAGCATTGGTGGTTGGTGCATAAACTTGGATGACTGTGATGTTGAAAGGTCTGCCCTGGATTCATATTGAAATCATTCTATCATTTTTGAGATTGTATCCTAGTACAGCTTTTCTCACCCTTTTTCTTGCCCACAATAGTAGATATGATAATCGTCTGAACTGAATTCACCCATTCCTGTCCATTTTAGTTCACTGATGCCCAGGGTGTCAATGTTTATTCTTGCCTTCTCCTGTTTGACCACATCCAGCTTCCCAAGGTCCATAGATATCACATTCCAGGTTCCTATGGAGTATTCTTCTTTGCACTATTGGACTTTCCTTTCACTTCCAGGCATGTCCGCAGCTGAGCATCCTTTCGGCTTTGGCCCAACCACTTCATTAGCTCTGGAGCTATTTGTACTTGTCCTCCGCTCTTCCTCAGTAGCATGTTGGATGCCTTCCGACCTGAGGGGCTCATCTTCCAGCATCATATCTTTTAGCCTTTTGTTTGTGTTCATGGAGTTTTCTTGGCAAAGGCACTGGAGTGGCTTGCCAGTTCCTGCTCCAGGTGGATCGTGTTTAGTCAGAACTCTCCACTATGACCTATCGGTCTTGGGTGTCCATGTATGACATAGCCCATAGCTCAATGGTCAGGGAACAAGGGTAAATTACCCCAAATGGGATAAAAATGAAAATCCTGGGGGTAATGAGGACATGACCCTAACCCCCTTCCCTCCTCCTTCTCCTCCTCCTCTGCCCGGAGGGCTGCCCAATCGCCCCCTTCCCACCCCCTTCTCTGGCCCAGCTGCAACCAAGCCATGGTGGATGGTGGCCGGTGATGGGCCCCGGCTGGCGGCATACAGCAGGCAAGGCGGCAGGGGCAGGGACAGCCATTGTGGAGGGTGAGGATAGGGCGAGTTGCTGGAGTGCCCCAGCCAGGAGGAGCCTCTCCTTCCAGGGCCTGGAGAGGTCGATCGCGGCGGAGAGGGGAGGGAACAGCCATGACGGTGGCCCGAGCCATGCTCAGCCTCCTGGCACCAGGCTGCCACTCCCCTGTCCCCGGAGGAGCCCATCGGGTGGCAGCAGCACTCACCTGGCCACACGGCTTTCTTCAGCGGCGCCTCCACACTGGCCGGACAGGCCTGGAGGAGCCTCTTTCCCTCAATGCAGCAGCTATCATGGCACTTCGACCGCGGGGCCCATGGGACCCATGATGCCGAGGCCTGACGCGGCCTCCCCAGCAGCATCAGGTGTCCCTGGTGGGCGAGCCACCTGTTCCTCTTTAATGGCTTCCCAGGAGTCTCCCGCCGGTGGAGAAAGGGAGCCGCCCCCGTGGGGCCAAGGACTGAGCATGGCCCCACCAGGCGGAGGCGGCCCCAGCGGTGAGGCTTCAGCGGCAGCGCTAGACTGGCTGCGTGTGACTAAGATCCTTACTTTCAAATCAAGGGGGTAATGTCAGTGTATATAAATTTTTTAGGGGGTAAAAGGTAAAAAAGTTCCCTGACCCCTGCCATAGCTTCTCTGAATTGCTCAAGTCCCTTTGCCATGACAAGGCTGCGATCTGTGAAGGGGTGTTGAATTTTACTGTGACCTAACCCATAAAAGTTGTACATTGATTGGTGTGTTCTCACGTATCAAGATAAGGAATCTTTGGCCCTTCAGATATTATGATTCTTGCCATCATATCTACCCTGTAAAGCAAGGTAGATTTGATTTAAATCAAATCAATTTTAAACACAATTTAAATAACAATTTAAATAAAACATCAGAGTTTTGGTGATTTAAAAAACTGATTTTTAAAAAATTTTAATCAATTTTTTTAAAAAAAAATCATTGATTTTTACCTGCTGTGAAGTCATGTTGGGAACTGCCCAAAATTTAATGTTGATTAGCAGAAGTTTGCTAAAGTAGCAAAGCTTTTTTCCCACCTGCAAGGTTACACAGGAGAGGGAAAATTAGTTTTGTCATGTTAGCAAACGTGTGCTATCAGAACATTAAATTGGGCCAATTTTTAAGGTTATGTAGTAATTATGAGCAGCATAGCATCCTGAGTTATTTATGGCTGGGTTTCTAATAGGGTACTCTCTGCTTGCTCTTTTTTTCCCCACATGTATTTGCATTCATAGTGTTGTGTCCTAAGATCAACTTTGCTGTTGTCCCTTCCGGGGTTTGGTAGCACCCCGCTGCCAGAACCTGGAAGGGACAGCAGCTGTTGTGAATAGCTTCCCTCCCTCTAATTAGCATAGATGCTGAGTAATTGGGGTGGGGTGGAAACCTCTAAATGAGAGGCGGGGATTTGTGTGTGTGTGTGTGTGTGTGTGTGTGTGTTGGAGTTTCTAAGTAAAGTCGTGTTGATTACTGCTGGGTCGTGACTCTTATTGGGTGTCAAATTCCACTATCCAACACATAGGCTTTGAGAGAATTATTCATTAAAATCTTGAATTCTTCATCTGATTGGTTTCATGTTCCATCTTTTTGCTCTAACAGGATAAAGTCTTCTGGTCTGAAGTTGAGATTCTGCACCAATGAAACCCAAGCTACTAGAGACAAGTTTGTTGAAAAGTTGCAGCGGTTAGGTTTTGACATTGTGGTGGATGAAGTCACTGCTCCAGCACCAGCAGCATGCCGAATTCTGAAGGAACGTAACCTGAGGCCACACCTCCTTGTGCATGATGGTCAGTTATTCTTTATTGGGGCATAGGGATTTACTGTCAAGGACTTTTTATAGTGAAGGACCTTAAAGCCACAAATAGCCATTTTTAAAAATAGGAAGTAACCTCTAGAGAGTTTAACAATATCCATTTGGGGTTTAAAAATATCCATTCGGGACTGCGTGATGTACCAGGCAGATGGTTAGTCATGTAACCCGAAAGCTTTCTGCCAATTTTTATTTGGGCGGTTTCACTTTGTGGAGGGGTCTGTGGGGTCAAAAGTACTTTCTGTGGTGTAGAATTTGTTGTCTTATGTAGTATTATTTTTAGCTTTCATGTTATGGCCCTATATAGACAGGATTATAGGAAGCCATTAAGATGAGGAAGAGCATTGTGCAAGGAAACTGAAAATAAGTCCTAAAATGTGCTTCTGCAAAGTCTCTTGTGGATGAATACAGAACGGTGTGGATTCTTGCAGTGGTCTTGTAAAACTGCAGTAGTGATTTCTTTCCTTTCACACACAACCTCTTGTTATGACTAATTTCTCAACTGAGGGATGACAAGGAAGAAAGGCCATCAAAGTAAGCTTTTCCAGGAGTTTAGTTTATCATGAGACTGGAAGGTGTCTGTTTTGCTTGCATGACAACATGCATGCTGTTTGCATTATCCAAATGTTGAACAGCATTCACCTGGCATGATGAATATATATGGGAGAGTGGAACACTTTTGGCCCTCCAGATGTTTTTGACTACAGCTCTCACAATCCCTTTCGTTTGGACCATGCTGGTTGCAGATTCGGTATTCTTCACCTTTGGTGGCTGGAGCTTCAGCGTTTAGGATTCCTTGTCTGATGGATCACATTATTCAATTTTTTGCTGCCTGACATGGCAGCCATTTCCTTCTGTGCTTGTAATTCTTCTGAGGCTGCCCCAAGGAGTAGCTTCACTGTCATGCTTTTGTCCCCTAACTCACTGTAGTGATTTATACTGCAGTGTGACAGTGGTTTCTTCCAGATACTTCTTCTTCCTGGAACCTGCTTTCTCTGTGTGGACTGTAGTATATCGTTGTTCTGTGGTATAATTCTCCACTTTTTCCTTTACAGTGTTGCCTCGCTTAACAATGATAATCCGTTCCAGGAAAATTGCTGTTAAGTGAAAACGTCGTAAAGCGAAATTAAAAAAACCATTGAAAAGCATTGAAAGCCGTTCAATGTGTTCCAGTAGGCTAAAAACTCACTGTCCAGAGAAGATCCTCCATACGGCAGCCATTTTTTGTGCCTGTATAGTGAAGAATCTGTCACTAAGCACAGCAGGAAGCCATTTTAAGAACCCCGTGGACATTTTGAAAACCCGACGACCAGCTGTCTTTGATTGTTGTAAAGCGAAAATCAGTTCCCGAAGCAGGGAACCGATCATCGCAAAGCAAAATTCCCCCATTTAGACCATCGTTTTGCGATCGCAATTGCAAAAAGATCATCGTAAAGCAGATTCATCGTAATGTGGGGTAATCGTTAAGCGGGGCACGACTGTACATGAGTGTGAGTTCCAGTTCTCTATCATATCTGAATCTTGCTTGTTTTGTGATGGTATTGCTAGACTTGGTTTGCCCAGTCCAAGAACTTGTTTTAACTTATCTTCTCTGTGTTAGTCTGTTGTAGACCCAGTCCAGCTAAGCCTCTTATCTAGCCTCTTTGAACTCAATTATTCTGTGATTCTAGCAGTGTCTGTGAGAACAGTTGCCATGTTTACCCACAGTGTGGGACTGCTGCTCCCCTCCTTGACATAAAATCCCTGTAGAGTGATATGAGGGCCTCATATCTGATTTCCCAGCAAACAACTACATGTGAGTAGTTGAGCTGGAAACGAAAGACTTGATTTTGATTTGAGGCATACACACATACAAACCCCCAAAATCCCAAACAAAAACAAACATGGGTGTTTTTGGTGTTAATGCATTTAATCTCACATGTCGCAAAAATGGAGTAGGTTTCACTAGCATCCAAAGTGGTCCTTCAACCAGGGTGCAATCTTTTGTTTACTCTGATTTCTAACCTGGCCGAAATTCCTGAAGATTCTGTGGCTCTGTTTCTCCAGAGGAACAGAAATAAGAGAATTGGGGGTGGTGACAAAAAGACAGATGTGACCAGGCGGGTACTCTATAGTAGAAACATGAAGTAGAAATTTGGAGGAAGGAAGTTTCATGAGAAAGGAGGCAGTTTCTGAAAATGATGCTTGAAATGAGATGATACAGGAAGAAATATAGGGGGTCTGGTTTGAATGTTTGTTCCAGATAACATAATCTGTAAATGAACATAAGCTGTGAGTGCTTTTTCTTCTTATCATGTATTAGCTTCAGTGTAAAGATGTTGGCATTGGGCCCTGGTTTGTTAACCAATGTTAAGCTAGAATTCCCCTGTTAAGAGATAATGTGGAACACCTATCTTAACACTAGCAAAGACTTTTGTACCAAAGTTGGTGTGTGCCAAGAGGGAAATGTGGAGAGTTGAAAAGCTGAACACAAGCCAGGATCATTGTGCTAAAATTCTCATCCATTGAGAAAGGGGAGGAGAAGTAAGAGAGGATGAGGTTCATGCACAATGTCCCTCTTTGTATTTCTACAGTGTCAAAGGAGAACACTGTTCATAACAACATTGTTAATTATTTTGCTCTACCGTGTTCAGTTTGCAGCAGCCTTCTCTTCATCTCAGTTGTGGGGCTGCAACTCTCATCAACCCTGTCCAGTGTGAGGCTTCCTGGGTTTTCCTGTGCAGTTGCATCTTGAAGTCAGCACTTTATGAATCCCAATTCACATGGAGGAATTTTATTTTAATTTAACAGTTACTTTGGTGATTGATTCCAAATATGATGTCTCACAATACAGTAACTGGTTTGGTGAATGACTTATATTTTTTGTTATTTCCAAACCCATGGGATATTGTATTTTGCAATAAAATCCTATACAGTTGAAGCATCAGTTTTGAAGGTTTTCCCTTTATTTACCATGCTTTTCCAAGCACTATCAAGGCAATTTTTTTCCACATATTTATCTGGAAAGCCAATTTATCTTGAAATTTGAAAGCATCACGTTTGGGAATGCAATGATGTCTGTGCTCTTGTTTTGTTCTCAAACTTCATCCTCAGATGTAACTAAAATGCTGAGCTGGAACTTTATGGTGTCAGGTCGATATCAAAATGCCTGTTGTCTGTTTGCTATTACACAAATACGTTTCCTTGGTTTCCCAGTGATCAGATGTCTGCATTTTGAAATGCCCTGTGGCATGTGACCTGACCTGACATCTTGCAGCACTAGCAAAGAAATGCTCAGTACGAAACTGTATTGCATTGCCACAAAACACAAATTTACTCTGGTATTACAGTATATCATCATAGTTAGATAACTTTAGAATAAATTTTTATGAACTAGAGGTATTTTTAAACATTGACAACGTTCCCAGAGTTACATAGTCTGAATAGCAAGCTCTTGATGAGATGCATGATGTGAAATATGTTGGTTGGCTTGAAGTTTTAAATGTTCTTTTCTTTTTTCATCCATTGGCTGAAGTCCTCTTGCATACCGTAGTAAGTCTGAACTGGAGTAGGCCCATTTGGATCAATGGAGCTTATAGAGGATTTTACTCACCAAATTGGCACTGATTCAGTGGGCCTACTGTAGTGTGACTGCACTAAGCAAGAGGATTTCAGCCATTGTGTTCTGTGACATACATGTGAAACCAGCATCAGAATTTGCTGTGTAGAATGTACGGGGTGCTGGTAATCAACACGCTGTTTCATGGTTCCCTGTAGGCATCCTTCAGTCTCGAGAGACTATGGTAACGTGCTCTGTATGGAGATCTTGGAACAGTGTCTTGTGTGGCTGAGAAGGCCAATTCGAGAGTGACAATCTCTTCCACATTGAAGACAAATACAATCTGTCCCCTGTCCAGCTCCCTGGTTTTGCTTGTTTCGGGACTGCCTCTTTGCCTCAGCCTGCTGTACAAGTGTCTCTTCAAATTGGGAGAGGCCATGATGCACCGCCTGCCTCCAGGCTGAACGCTCAGACGTCAAGGTTTCCCATCTGTTGAGGTCCATTCCTAAGGCCTTCAGATCCCGCTTGCAGATGTCCTTGTAACGCATCTGTGGTCTCCCTCGGGGGTGGCTTCCCTGCACTAATTCTCCATACAGGAGATCTTTTGGAATCCGACCATCAGCCATTCTCACGAAGTGCCCAAGCCAACGTAGACGGCGCTGTTTCAATAATGGATACATGCTGAAAATTCCAGTTCGTTCTAGGACTACTCTATTTGGAACTTTGTCCTGCCAGGTGATACCAAAAATGTGTCGGAGACAACGCATATGGAAGGTGTTCAACGTCCTCTCCTGCCATGCACAAAGGGTCCAGGACTCGCTGCAGTATAGGAGTGTGCTCAGGACACAGGCTCTGTAGACCTGGATTTTGGTGTATGCCGTCAACTTCTTATTAAGCCATACTCTCTTTGTGAGTCTAGAGAACATGGTAGCTGCTTTCCCAATGCGTTCCCCAGTCCTTCATGATTTTGATATTTTGTCAGCTTTCTGAAAATTTTGGGATTTCCTCAAGCCTGCTGATAAGTAGTTGTGCATGGTGCTGTTCCGTGTGGATGTATAAAACAGAATAACTAGGTCTTTTTCTTTCTTGACTTCTTGAACTTTCCAAAGTAAATACAGTGGTGCCTCGCCAGACAATTGCCTCATGGGACGAAAAACCTGCAAGACGATTGGTTTTTGCGATCACTATGATGCCTCGCAAGACTTTTTTTTCTATGACCATGCTTCGTAATACGTTTTTTTTTTTTACACCAATGCTTTGCAAGACTTTTATTTAGACCGATGCTTTGCAAGACGTTTTTTGAGACTGATGCATAGGGAACCTCGCAAGACAATTTTTTCACAAGACGATGATTTTCACGGAACGAATTAAAATCGTCTTGCGAGGCACCACTGTACCATGAAGTTTGAAGAATAGTTGGAACATGCATCTCTGCAAATAATTGGACTGTTCTAACTTAATCCATTTCAATTTGTTTATCAAAACTAAGGAACTGGGCATGTTCTTGAAAGTTTAAAATATCTATTTTTCCTTAGATGTTATCCCTGAATTTGCTGATATTAATAAAGCAGACCCAAACTGTGTGGTGATTGGTGATGCGGCAGACAACTTTTCATACAAAAACCTTAATGATGCCTTCCAAGTTCTCATTGGTCTGGAGAATCCAGTTCTCTTGTCTCTGGGGAAAGGGTAAGTTGGTCTAGTGTATAATAATATAATAAAGAGTAGTCGGTTGACTAAATGGGTACAAATTCAATAAATAAATGAATAAATAATAGTGGTGTGCCATCGAGTCAATTCTGATTTATGGTGACCCTTTCCATGGTTTTCCAGGTACTGAGTACTCAGAAGTAGTTTACCATTTCCTTTTTTTCTTGGGATACTCTGAGGCTGTGCAGATTGCCCAAGGCCACACACAGGCTAGCTCTTTTTGAGATGCACAGTGGGGAATTTAACTCCCAGCCTGTGGTTCTGCAGCCAGATGCCTAACTCACAAATCAAGCCAGCTGATCTAGTGTATACTGGTGTGATGTATTGATGATATAATAGACTGGGAACATCAAAATCATGGTATTTTCCTCACATTGACCTGTTTGGCTACATTTTGGTTGCTGTATTCTTGTAGCACTGGGTTTTATGTGTTTAAAATCACCTGATGCTGTGCAAGTTGTGGGTCTTGTTATTTACCATGTATTCCAGTTTTCCTTTGGGAGTTGTTTCAGTTTATATGTGGTGTATATCTGTGTGTAGATGTGTGCACTTGTATTACCTCATGAATGGAATGCATAAACAATAGTGGCTGTGCAACACATTATTCCAGTATCTGGAAGGGGATCAGAAGAATTGTATAAATCTGCATTTCTTTAGAAGTAGTACATTGCAGCACTGTGTGAGGTAATATTGAGGACTGTTTTTTTTTTTAGTGGGTGGGGAGTGTTTGGGGAATTTTATGTGTGTGCATGTGTGTGGTCTCTGGATGTCTGTGAATTTCATTGTATGGGTATACAGTACTGTGTATATACTCACAATGACAATAAATAAATAAGTATAATTTATTTAAATAAATAAATAAATAAATTATACTCGGCAGAATCCTATTGCTGATCTACATTTACATGGAGGAAATCATATAAATCTTGGTGGTATATTACCTTTCATTTATGAGGTGCTGTTTGTGTTTCTGCTAGTACTTCATTAATGAACAAGAGTTTGCTGCCAAGATTTGCAAGATTTCTGTTGTGTGAACATAAACTGTCAATAGCATTCTGGCCATTGACTATTTCAGCTATTAAGAGTTTTAAATGTGTTCGTGTTAATAAACAATTCATTTCCCTGTGCTGGCTATCTAATGGGATATAGGAACATACTGTCGAGAATCCTATTTTTGTTTCCTTAAGGTTCGTGAACCATGGCTAACTGCAGCTAGTTGACGAGTTGCTGAGGCATATGTCACATGCCACAATTGGGTGCATAACCAGTCATGCAACCGAGATACATGCCCGCACGTAAACCTTATGCAAATACTGTATCAAATATATTCTGGCCAATCTAAACTAAGACAACTCTCACAGATCTTTTACTTTGGGGAGGGTCAATAGCTGATTAACAGAGTGCATGCTTTCCATAGAGAATGTCCTAGTTGCATCTCCAACAATTCTAGTTAAAAGACTCAGCAGGTAATCTGTCTCTGGAGATATGCTGCTATGAAGAGCAGGTAGTAATGGACAAGGCAGTTAGCAGATGTACAGTGGTGCCTCGCATAGCGACGTTAATTGGTGCAGCAAAAATCACTGCAAAGCGATTTCGTCACTATGCGATTTTAAAAAGCTCATAGGAATCATTGAAACCCCTTTAATGCGTTCCTGTGGGCTTAAAACTCACCTTAAAGCGAAAATCCTCCATATGGTGGCCATTTTCGCTGCCTGGTAAGCGAGGAATCCACACAAAAACACAGCGGGCGGCCATTTTTTTTTACCTGGTGGCCATTTTGGAACTGCTGATCAGCTGTTAGAAAATCATCGGTAAGCGAAACAGGTAACCAATCATCTCAAAAGCGATTTTCCCCATTTAAAACATTGCAATGCGATCGCAAAAGCAATCGCAAAAAGTTCGTCGGTATGCGATTTCGTTGTTATATGGGGCGCCCGTTAAGCGAGGCATCACTGTATTTGGATATGGGCTATGCATGTATGGTTAGCCTCTAACATAGGCAGAGTTTTGCAGAAATATAAAATGTTCACAAAGTTGCAAATGGCTATTTAAGCCAACTCTCTTTTAAAGTTTAAGAACCTCCAAAAATAAATATTGATTTATTATTATCTTGTAAGAAAGGTTGACATGAATTTACCTTCATTAAAATTGTGCTGATATTGTATTTCTAATAATAATAGCAGCAGCAGCATGCAGTTTTTTGTTCTCATATGGTGTCAGCAATGTTATATCGAGTGTGGAAGTATTTTAAAACATTCATTTGTTCAAACTTTCTTTGAAGAAAGAAATATTCTTCCAACCAAAGTTGTAGCATGCCATCTAAAAACCAAGAGCGTTAGAGCTGCTGGAGAAGAATGTTCCTTTTCTGAAAATGGAGTGATTTACATTTAGCATCTGTTTTGGGCTGAGAGTGGGAATTGGCTTTGTAATTTCTTCTGTCATGCCACTGTCAGAAAATTAAGCTGTTTACGCTAGACTATAGAAGGTTAATGGCTGTTCTAGCAAAGGTCAAGTGGTCATTTTAAAGAGAAGCTGTGCTGAATAATCGAAAATGGCAGAAGGATAAAGCATAAAATCTTATCTGACTGCTCATCCTAGACATTTTTGTTCTCTTTCTATCTGTCTGGGGACATAAAAGAAAATTCGTGCATTATGCTGGCATTCTCTCCTATTGTGTGCTTGTGTAAATGTATATGTATAATTCACCATAGGGTGGAGATGACTTGATGGCACATAGCAACACATAGTCATGCAAACATACGGAGAGCTAGAGAGAGAGAGATTAATATTATGATTCAGTTTATGATTATGAAGAAAAGACTGGTGATAGGTTTTCTTGGTAAGCATTATTATTTGGAAGTAAATTCCAGAAAAAAAACATATTAAACTTGGTCAGTTTCAGTGGCAAACGCTTTTCACTGAATCTTGCATTCCTGTTTCTGTTCACTCAATGAAACACTAGATAAGAAGGGCTGCTTTACATATAATGGGGAAGGGGGAATATGCATTAAAGATGAATCCATGCAGCTCTGGCCCATTGCTTCATCCGTAATGCATTTGTCTGTCTTTTGTCTTTTTTTAAAATGTATCTGTCATATAGACACCAATTGGACGAGGATGCAGAGATCCATAATTGGACTTCCCATGACTTTAAAATGTTTGTTAATCTGGAAGTTTCAGTTCATGGCTGTGGCTTGGGGGTTGAGGGTTTAACTTTCTTGAAACTTACACCCCCACACCCATTGACCCATATGGAAAATCATGCATGTTTTCATCAATTGGATGAATACTAGGTGGTAGGGGGATTTTTTTAAGTCAAGAAAATGCGTTCCCCTCCCTCTTGCTTTTATTCAGTGTTGCAGAATAAAAGTAAGGTTAGGTAGGACTATGCACTTCAAACCAGGGGTAGGTAACGTGTCTCCCTTGGGATTTTGTGGCACTGCCTTCACTTCCAACCTTGCTAGCCAGGGCTCTGTGACAGCTGCAGTCAGGCAACAGGGTGACACATTTCTCATCCTTAACTTAAATGGTAAGAGAAACTACTGAAGTTTTAATTACTTATTGTAGTACCAATTCTAGCCAGTGAGGGCAAATTTTAATTGATGCAGGTTGAAGTTAAGGACAACTTTGCAGATTTTTGTGCCTATTTTAATATGTTGTTACAAAAGAAAATGAAAATGAAATCTTAAAGGCAGTGTTTTCTTTTATTACATGCTAGCTTTTGTTAATGTGAAAGTACCTTGAATTTGACCAAACTCCGGGAAGCAGTGGAAGACAGGAGGGCTTGGCTTGCTCTGGTCCATGACTTTTGGGGGGAAAAAAATTAAATTACACTGATGAATTGCTTAATCAAGATTGGAGGCAGATCAGCTGTTTTTGCTGATATGCACACTTTATATTCCTGAATATAGTATACAAATTAAGAAATTTGACATACATAAATACATGTCTTACATTTGTAGATCTGCCTTTGTTCTTGAAGTATACCTTTGTAGTAGAACACAATTAAAAGCTTTATTTCTCTGTGTGTACTTTTTAAAGGCAGAACTTGTCAACCTTTTAAATACTACGTGTGTGTGAACCTGAACAGGACAATATATGAAACTTTGTGAAGCAACGTGGAATAATTGGCCCATCCTGAGCTGAAAACCACAGGTCGTCAATGTGGTTGACATTTATGTTATTTTGTCACATCTGCCCAGTATTATTTTCATCCCACATTCTGCCTAGATTCATGTAATGGCCAAAATTCTATTGTGTAAATTTACACTTATGGAAGCCAATGATGTCATCAGCTGGCACCTGTAATTATTTAATTTAAATTAGTTAAACCACTCCCTTGATTTTAGGTTCTGATGTTTCCTAGGGCTCTCTTTCACTCTGAAGAGGCTTTTAGGAGAGCTTTTAATTAAATTTATTTAAATTAAATGTTACTGGCATCAGCTGATGAATGTGAAGCATCCATGTCCAGTCATCTCCTGGGAGAGACGAATATGAAGCCTGTCAGCACAGGTGTCCTGGCAAGCCTTCCCCACCCCCTAGAACCAGCCCAGTCCACTCACTGGACTCCTCAGTGCATGCATGCCTGCGGTCAGCAGCATCACACCAATTGCAGACGTAGTCCCCTTGGTGCTTTCCTGCATCTCCCTGCAGCCAACCACTCCAGAAAGGAGATGGGAAGACAAGTCTCCCCGATCAGCTGTTGAACAGTTGGTTGAGGGGAGAGGTGGGAAGAGCCAGTGGGATGACATCTGCAATTGGTGTGATGTCATTACTGCCAGGCAGCCTGCCTTCATGACGAGGAGCCCAGCGAGTGGACTGAACTAGTTTTGGGGAGTGGAGAAGGACCGCTGGGACACCTGTACTGGTGGGCTTAATATTTGTCTCCCCCAGGAGATGAATATGAACCTTCCATTTCTACTGATGATGTCATCAACTTCTGCCAGCGTGTATGTATGCAATAGGATTTTGCCCACTATGTTGCTTTTTTAACAAATCAGGGTGTCATATGAAAACTTGTGTGTGTGTGATGTGCTGTCAAATTGGAAGCAACTTATAGAGACCTTAACAGGGCTTTAAAGGTAAGTGAGATATTTAAGGAGTGGAGTTTTACCAATTCCACATGCCCAATGCGTTTCTATGGCCAAGTGGGGATTTGAGGCCTGCGGGTTAAGCCGCAGAAGACTTTGTGCTGCAAGGCCAGAAGACCTGCAGTCGTAAGATCGAATCCACGTGACGGAGTGAGCTCCCGTCGCTAGTCCCGCTCCCGCCAACCTAGCAGTTCAAAAGCATGTAAATGCGAGTAGATAAATAGGTACCACCATGGTGGGAAGGTAACAGCGTTCCGTGTCTAGTTGCGCTGGCCATGTGACCATGGAAGATTGTCTTCAGACAAACACTAGCTCTATAGGTTGGAAACAGAGATGAGCGCCGCCCCCTAGAGTCGAACACGACTGGACAAATTGTCAAGGGGGAACCTTTACCTTTACCTCCAGAACCCTAGTCCCTCACTTTGTTCACATCACCACACTGGGACTCCTTTTTATGCAAATATATAAAATCTTAGTGAGAAACAAATTTAGTTACAAAAAAAAAAAGAAATATACTCTAGGAGTAAAGTATTTGTATTTAAATATTAACTTCTCATTTTCAGACGCTATTATAAAGAAACTGATGGCCTAAAACTTGATGTTGGAGTATACATGAAGGCATTGGAGGTATATTACATGTGGTGTATTTCTGTACAAGTTTAGCCATTGCACTGTACAGCTTTTATTTCATCATCTGGATACAAATTGGTTAGAGGTTCTTTGTATGAGAGAAAGGGTAAGCAGCCTGAGCCCTTTAGATGTTATTGGATGGGAATTCCCACTAGCTTTGATATTCTTGGTTTAAATGTTCCTTATTGATGTATTTTTACTTTAATTTATGTATTGTATAACTGTATAATCTTTAGTATATTTGTATTAAGTTATTAATTTTCTCTTTTTTTTCTTTTTTCTCTTTTTTCTTTCTTCTATCGTCATGGAATGGGGGGCCTGCCCACCCAGCGAGGGGCTACAAAACATCTCTGTGACTACGGGTAGAGGGCGATATGGCGTTGACTTCGTCCCAACTCGTGTTAGAAGAACTTTGAACAGATGTTTAAAGGCTGTTCCTTGTTCTGAGACGGAGATCAACCCCCAGTATCGAGGTAGCCAGACCAGCCAGCCCTCTACTCTACGCCTGGTCTTGTTGAATGCCAGGTCTGTATCTAATAAAACCCAATTGATTTACGATCTTATTTTGGAGGAAGATGCAGACCTGGCCTGCATAACCGAAACATGGATTGGCGGAGAGGGGGGTCCCCCTCTAGCTCTCATCTGTCCGCCCGGTTATGCTGTCCAACACCAGGGTAGACTGGAGGGACGGGGGGGAGTAGCCATCATTTATAAGTCCACCTTGGAGGTAGTTAGGTGCTCCTCGGTGGTAAAGCCGGGTCTTGAGGCCCTCCACGTGTGGATTGGGGCTAGGGACGGTATTGGGATCTTGCTGGGTTACCGTGCTCCCCGCGACCCAGCCATTTCCCTACCGGAGCTGGCGGA